AATTCAGTTCAGTTCATTTCAATTCAAAGGGCTTTATAGGCATGAACAAAAACATGTTTATTACAAATATTTCCATATTACATATTAAATACATAAAAAATATTTTCAATACAATTCATTAATATACAATATATATTATTTAATACAACTACTCAATATCATAGATATTATCAGTAGTTACAAGCCCCTCATGCTGTGGCAGGCAGATACACATTTAGCTACTACACGAGCTGTTGTGCCTTCACCGAGGAGAACCGCAAGTTTTGTTTCTGGGGTTAAATTAGGAAAATCTGATCTTGTTTTGGTTATTTCCTTGTCGTGGAAATCCCTCCCGGTGGAGGAGGAAGCGCATCTCTGTTTCTATTTCTCTTGCTGAACATTGAACACACACATGCTCCTCTCTGTGCAGCCTCGTCTGTCTGTGTTTTCCAGTTTCTACGGCTAGTTGGTGGCCACTGAGCCTGTATTTGCTCAGGATCATTCTTGTATATTCTTTATATTCTCTGTTTAGGGTCAACTAACAATTTAGTCTACTTTGGGTTTTGTTTAATGTATCCAATGTTTGATTGATTAATAATTAATTTAATTGTGTTATGTTAAATTAATCACCAGCTGACTGAGGGGACTTTCTATCTCTCTCTCACACGCACATACAAGATGAAATATATAAACAGAGGATCAAATTTCACCTAGTACAAATACCACACACACACACACACTCACACACACAGTCTCACAGTGATATATCACACACTGCATAGGCATCTAGTAGGGTGTGAAAAAAAGACAGAGGAGGAGAGAGAGAGAGGGGTTATTTGGTGGTAATCAGTCACTGTGAACATCGTGTCTGTTTTTGCTGTTGTGAATTTTATTGTCGTATGGTAATGCTGTTTTAAGTACAGATCTAAAACATCTGCACGGAATTATTATGCAACAATAGTGAAGCTGACAAAAATATAAGTAGACATGGTGTTGGCTGTGATGGATTGCTGCTGGATGTTATCTTGGACAAGTTTTAAGTCTCTCTTACTTCATTTGAATATGAACCAATGACCTCGAAAATCTTACAACAGTATTGTTTGCTTTGGAAAAAGTGTGGCTGTAATATGAAATATCATTGAGACAATATGTGCACCAGAAGGTGGTTCAGTGTGTGGAAGCTGCTATAAACTCGACCAATAGCCAGAACTGGAGTTGCTGGAGGTAAACCGTGGAAAAAAAGACGAGTGAAAGAAAAAATTGTTCCAGAGTTTCTCGCAAGAAATGAAACAAAGTGTTTTGCTGTCCCTTTAACTAAAGCTCAAAACCTAAGTAACAAATGCACCTCAGTCACCAACACTTATTTTTACCTTTATGTAACTGCTATTTCTGTCCAACAACAGGGCAGCACAAGTGAGCTGAATCACCAACTTAAACCCATTGCCACATGCAGACTCACAAATCCCCAATGAGCTAAAATGAGGCAGCATCTCATTGAGTTTCACTACATGGGCCGAGCATTTGAGTGCACTCAGGCAGTGCTAAAGCTGCTTGTCACTTTCCTGGTAGGCTATCCTGCATTGCATCACACGCTTTATTTAGTTTCCTTGCCGCCTTAAGTGCCCGCATACATTTTGAAGCACTGGCCTTGTAAAACATTAAAAAGCCCTCTGGAAGCCTGCGTGTGCGTCATTGTTAGCTACATTAGAGCCCCACACTACACCAGCAGTGAGGGAGGAAATGGGGGTGATGTCTGCAGGAAGAGGTACACCTGGCTGGGTGTCTGTGTTTATACTGACATACTGCAGCATAGCAAACAAACAAAAAACAAATGGGAAACATCACTTGAGTTTAAAGGGGAATTTTACAGGTCTTAGGGAGTACTAAAAAAAGTTGTATAAAGGGTTTTGTGGCTCCAGAGGGAGCTGTGTGAAGTCTGATAAACTCATTTGGAGGTGAAGAGAATAAAAAACAATCTGCAGACTTTTTTTTATTGACTTTTACCCTTTTTGAGTCTGACGTGTTATAGGTTTGTGATGCTAAATCAGTGGAGTATTCTTTTAAAATCAAGATATTTCTAATTGTGAGCCACACCACAGGTTATGGTATCTAACCAAAAAGTGATTTTGACTGATTGTTTGATGTGAATAATGTGAAGGTATGACATATTTGGTATAGAAGAAGAAACATTTTAATTTGAGGAACGTTACACAGCTTCTTTCTTGTTTCTTTCTTATCTTTTTAATCATCCTGTGACCCCTAAGATTTATTTGGAGATCCTTTTCCGGAATCCCAGCCAAGAGTATAGCTGTAAATGAGCATGATGAGTGTAATTCTTACAATTAGTCTCTGGGCTTTAAACTGATTCTGGGTGGCCAGTCAATGCTTCCTGTTGAGTGAACTTCAAGTTTACATCCTTTGGAATTTTAAATTGTGGTTCAGCCACTGGACAGTGTCTCACACACCAAACCAAAGACACAAGGATGAACAAAATCACTTTTTAAGAAAGACCAGCGTTTACCTTCGGAATGGCCAGTCTCTCTGTTTTTTCAGGCCCGTCTTCAGAGTCAGAGCAGGTGTGTGTGTCTGCATGGACGCGAGGCCGGTGGAGCGGCTGGATGCTGATCTGGGTGCTGAGGAGGTTGCTGACGGCCTTCAGAGAACTGCAGGTGTTCGGGGGCAGTGACGGGTCAGCCAGCAGGTCTGAGATCAGACCGTGGGCCTCACCCATCACCGCGATGTCCACTACCACGCTGGTGCCCGAAGACTGCAGTGGAGAAAAGAGGAAAGGACAGGAAGAGATAGAGAATAAGATAATCATTCTTTGTCCATGTTTTTTGGTGTAATGCAATGATGACGAAAAAACATGGGTTGAACATGTAAAAGTTAGTAAGGAGTAATGAGAGAATATTGAACACATCATAGCCATAAAAACATCAAAATAATAAACATTCTATAACACACCCACTACCGCCTATATTCAGCTGTCATTTATTCAACATATTGACTGATGAGCCCAAAGGCTCATCTATGTCAAAGGTCAACCATGTGTGGTTTCAGTAATGGATTCCACCGTTAATGTCAACATGTGCTAATCAGCTCCTCTTAAGCTTATAATCAATTTCCTTACACTCCGAAACTTCCATACAATCCACACAAACACACACACACACACACACACACATGCACAGTATATATAAGTGCATGCATACAAAATTCAGCATTTGTAAATAGCAAAGTCAATCCATCATGTGGAGAAAACTAAAGTTACAATTTGTAAATGATAAATAAGGAGTTGATACTGTAGACTTAATTCACAAATTGCACAACAAAGCAATCATGGACATGAGTAAATGTGCTTTAAATAGTGTGATGATTATATATATATATATATATATATATATATATATATGAGGAACAGA